AAATATGTGCCCGAGTGTTTCTCCTAATCGAAATTTCTCATCTTGGAGGGATCTTAAATCGATTAATGATAAGTTGATGACAATAAATTTCGTGATGAACTAACGCAATGGATCCTCAGCACAGGTAGAATTTTAACCGGGCATTAAGTTCTTTTGTCCATATATTGGAGTCATCGAACATCAACGTATCGAGATAGAAAATCTCTTCAATGACGTGGCCACCAACTAAATCGGTCTATTCGCCAGAAGCACTCAACGATCAGAAAGCATGCGTTAGGAGTGTAATGATAAGGTGTCGAAAGGAGGGGGGTCGGTAAACGATTTATTTCCTGCTCACCGACGACGCCGACACGACATCAACAATTCAACTTTCAACAATCAACGCTTGTCGCCATCGATGGTTAATCGCCATTGGCACTGCTTCGCGGACTCCTTAGTCATTCCAGGTGACTCATTCGGAGATTCCGGACAGCGAATAACTCGGCAAATTGTGTGCTAGTGCACGACAACGGGCGAGCACGCAGAACGTCCTTGTCCAGATCAAAGAACTATCTTCGTCAATGCGACAGGGTTGCCACAGAATTTAGAGAATGAAATTCCCTGACCTTTCCTTATTTTCCTGACACATATTGGCGAAATTCCCTGACAATTGAAGATGTGACTGATGGTTAAGAGGGCATAATTGAAAATAGTTTTCAGGGAAAATTTCTTCTTCAAAATCTCATTCCCATTCTAGAATTTGGAAAATAAAATTCCCTGACACGTTTTGGCGAAATTTCCTGACAATTATGGATAGAGGGCATAATTGAAAATAGTTTTCAGGGAAAACTTCTTCAAAATCTCATTCCCATTCTAGAATTTGGAAAATAAAATTCCCTGACATTTCCCTGATTTCCCTGACACACTTCAGTGAAATTTCCTGGCAATTGCAGCGATGGCAAGTGGGTAAGAAGACATCATTGAAAATAGTTTTCAGGCGAAATTGGTAGTTCGAAACCTCAAACCCATTTTAGAGCGCAAATAAAGGAGATTTAACAAATTTTACCTGACATTTCCCGGTATACCCTGACTTTGTAAAATTTCCTGATGTTCCCGGGTTTCCCAGACCGTGGCAACCCCGCTGAATGACGCTGGTTCTTTCCACTTGCAAAAACATAAAAATGAGACATTTTGTAACGTAGCAACGAAGAGGCTCGTCATAAAAATATCGCATGTACAAAAGTGAGGTGAGTTGCGTGTTCTCTGCGACATCGGCCAGGGTCCGTTGTGAAACTCGCTCCCTATGATCTGGCCCCGGGCTGCTCAGGGGAGTTNGGGGGGGGGGGGGGGGGGGGGGGGGGGTGAAAAATTAATCCCCGCCGGAAGCGTGCCGGGCAGGGACTCGCAGGGACGTCCTTCTTAATCCCGCGCCGACGAGACAGCATCACGACGCGATCATGTGCCCGATCCGGATTAACCCTTTCGTCCCTCCCACCGCCTCCGCGACTATGACGTCATCCCACGGCCGAGCTTCTTCACCTACTAGTGTCACGCTGCGCTGAGCAATGGATACTACCAATTCTCATTGCAGCGTGGCCACCGTTTTGGCCAATCTTTTAATTTTAATTTTCACACGCAAACCGAGACTCCACACGTAAAGAGACCAAGGTAGATTTCGTCTTCATCTAAATGGATCACTAGACAAGGTACGAATTTAAGCATTCCGGTACATGTTTCTTAACCAAAATTTTACGTAGAACACGATTCGCGCAACGAAAATTACTGAAACCAACTCCTAACGAAGATATTAACCTTTTCATTTCACATTGGTTACGAGGAATTTGAACTGCCCGCTCACAAGAAACTCAAAGCTCTACGTGAGTCAAATCGCGCACGACAACGGTCTCAGCAAGTTTCTTAATCAAGCAATATTCATTTCCCACCATGTGTTGTTCGAACTATAGGCAATTCGCTATAGCTGAGCCAAAGCGTCAAGATTGAGGTTGTCAGATTTTTACATCGCGCAGAGACTGTCATGATAACGTTTAGCGCGCGATGTGAATCACGTAGAGCATTGAGTTTTCATGAGCGGGTGGTTTCAATTCACGCATCAAGAATCATTAAATATCGTTGTGAGGAGTTGATTTCGATAATTTTCATTGTGCGCATCGTGCTCTACGTGAAATTTTGGTTACGGAACATACATCAGAGTGCTGAAATTCGTACCTTGTCTAGTGATCCATTCTTCATCACGACAGATTGACAAGTAAACTTAATACACCAAAATAATTCTTCTAGCTACAGTTGAATAGATGATTTCCATAATGCAACAAGTCTTGCCTTCTGCCGGGAGACAGTTTTCTTGGTCAAAAAAGTCCGATTTTTCTCAATGCAATTACAGGGCGTCTACCAGCTGGAAAACCCCAAAATCGGGGAAATTTGGGAACTTTCAGGGACTTTTTCATGAAAATTGGGGGAATTTTAACCAAAATAGACGAGAAAAAAGCCGCGAGAGAGCGACATAAAATGAAATAAAGACGATTCTTGTCAGTTTTGGGGGACCAAAACATGAAAATCGGGCACATTCGGGGAAATCGGGGACACCTTTCCAGAATCGGGGACAATCGGGGACTTATAAGTCCCCGATACGTCCCCATAAGTCTTATGGGGACCAGTAGACACCCTGAATTAGTGCGAGGGCTTCATGCAATTACAGGGTGTCTACCAGCTGGAAAACCCCAAAATCGGGGAAATTTGGGAACTTTCAGGGACTTTTTCATGAAAATTGGGGGAATTTTAACCAAAATAGACGAGAAAAAAGCCGCGAGAGAGCGACATAAAATGAAATAAAGACGATTCTTGTCAGTTTTGGGGGACCAAAACATGAAAATCGGGCACATTCGGGGAAATCGGGGACACCTTTCCAAAATCGGGGACTTATAAGTCCCCGATACGTCCCCATAAGTCTTATGGGGACCAGTAGACACCCTGAATTAGTGCGAGGGCTTCATACCATCTCAAAATAGTATTGGCAAGACTCGAAGAATTAGACTCAACTTACAAATGCGGTGATTGAGTTACACTGAGGATTTTTGATGGGAGGACCGGTTTCGGCTCTTGGACATGACCAATCGAGCGGAGACGTAAATTGAGGGGAACCGGCAGTCCACACAAACGTCGCTAGTCTCGTCAGCGGAGCGTTTCGCAAGTTAAAACCCACGAAAAAGACTCGCAACATTCAATTGATCATATCGCAAACCGATTGAAATCAATGATAGATGACCTCGATTACGCAGGGAAACCGGAGAGAAAAGAAACTAGGCTGCCGAATTGGCGAAATAAAAACTCTTGGCGGGAGCGAGAAAGTTAGACAAATATAGGGACTTTTCCAAAAAAAAAAACAAAAAAAAAATCCTCTTTACACAAAACTTAAACATTTGATGGAGTCTAAATGAAGTGTGTCGAAAATGTGTCTACACTGGGAAAAAAAACCACATTGGTTCTAGAGTCCAGACTCTTAAAAACATCGACAAGAATAAATACTCTTGATTCAATCAGATTTAAGCTTAAATCAAGAACCAAGCCTCTTAATTTGGGCGGATTTCCTTTTGATTTAAGCTTAAATCTGATTGAATCAAGAGTCCTTTTTCTTGTCAATGTTTTCAAGAGTCTGGACTCTAGATCCAATGTTTTTTTTTTTTTTTTTTTCCAGTGTTCAATATGAAACCAAGATGGCCAAGAATGTTCAAAAATGAGCCTTCTTCGGTAAAAATGAGTGAATTGTACAAAAACTAAGTCAAATACGTGCATAAAAATCGACGGGCCGTGACAGAAGTAACAATGAATTTTTCTGAATAATTTGAATTCATATGTTGGCCCCGCCCTTTAGAGCCCTAAATGCTGCATGACCTAACCTCAAAATTACCATCATGCTCGCACTCTCGCTGTATAGGTACTCTCGTCGGGAGCTGCGAGTAAGCGCGTGTTCGGCGTGTTTACAGTTGGAGCGTGGTGAGCGTGGGTAATGAACTAATGAACCGAAATTGGGAGCCAAGGCCGTCGTCGCCACTGCCGCAGTGCGGGTTCAGCCAGATCCCTTTGCAAGATCGTCTGTCCAACGTGCATCCATCCTGAGCTACAACGCCATAACAGGACCATTTCAACCTTACGGAACCCCTCCCCCTCTCGAAAAAAAAAAAAATTATCATTATTTCCAAGCTACCGTTATTTCTTCTCTTAACATGGGTACGATGGATGAAATTGCCGGTAGAATACTCGGAGATTTCAAGGGAGATTAGACAAGTTTTCCAGAAAAATGGCAGCTGATTTAAGAAAAATTTCACTGGAAAAAAATACACATTGGATCTAGAGTCCAGGCTCTTAAAAACATCGACAAGAAAAAATACTCTTAATTTGCGCGGATTTCGTTTTGATTTAAGCTTAAATCTCCTAGAATCAAGAGTCCTTTTTCTTGTCAATGTTTTCAAGAGTCTGGACTCAAGATTCAATGTGTTTTTTTCCCCAGTGTTGAAGACGTCCAAGTATCGGCTCCCGTTGCGTCAAGCCCGAAACTCCGGCGTCACCATGACTGGGGATACAAATGAAAACATTCCCGGGAAACCTCGACATGGAAACACGCAAATCACATGAATGTGTGCCCGGTTGTCTCTCATCTTTTGAAAATCCACCTGGAGCATTCCCGAAATCCAAGCATGTTCCCAGGAATTTCCGTTCCCATCCTCAGCACTTTATTTTCTAGGAAACTTTGATCCCAAATCATGACGACACGTGTCGTAGTCCGAGGACTAAAAAACGCCACCAGGGGCGAATTGAATTTCGAAGCGCGCAAATAACCATCTCGACAGTTCAAGTGCAAACAAGAAATAAAACGCATCCAGCAATAAGATATCGTGATATACATGGTTAAACTGCAGTTACACGCATCCAGTTTAAAAATAATGGTGTACAGCAAGGCGCGGGAACTTACAATTAGCAAGATACGAGTAAAAATAAGTACTCACGAAATGTGGAGGGATGGGCACCATGGGTGGGTGCTGCGGCGATAGAATGACGTGTCGCAAGGTGCCACTTTCGTCGACGATTTGTTGGACGACATGGCCGTGTGGTACTTGAACCGGCATTGCTATCGGCGGCGAGGAGTTGGTCGAGACCATAGGCACTGTTACCGGACCTGAAAAATACGAAAGCAAACGTCAGCGTTTTCCTTCTGTGACGTATCCATGAAAAACTTTCAAACGATTTCCAAAATGATGCTTTCCGACAAAGTTAACATTTAATTGAACACTCATGTCTCCTGCCATTCGGGGTCCGAATATTGCTTCAGGGCCGCAGAGCACGCGATCGCATTCGAGTGAAAACAATCACTGACAAAAAATTCTCGGCGTTTTTACCACGGTCCGTTGGTACCTTTACCATCTCAGTTTTTTTACCAATTATTGGTAATTTTACAAAGACAGACTGGTAAGCTTACCTAAAAACCGGTATTTTTACTGTTATTTTCAGGTAAGAATACCACTTTTATTGGTAATCAATTCCGGGTAACTTTGCCAAATCATCTTGGTAATTCTACCGCAGTCGATTAAAAATAATGGCGTTTTTACCAAGGTCCAGTAAAATTACCGAGAAAGTTCAATAATTTTACCGAGCTTTCTCGGTAAAATTACCAATTTCATAAATGGTAATTTTATCAAGAAAAAAGTGGGATCGAATAGAACCCTGAATTCTTGGTAATTTTACCATTTTCTTAGAAAATACACCGAGATTTTTATTTCAGTGTAGGAGAGGCGGCGTGCGCTGTCGTGAAAATTGCGATGGGAATCGGAACACTTTGTAAATAAAAGAAATGAAAAAAGAAATACGAATAAATGATAAATTTGAAAAGTTTGAGGCTCAAACGTTTTAAAAACGGGAACACTGGAAAAGAGTAACTTCACTGGGAAAAAAGTCTTTTGGATCCGGAGTCCAGACTCTTACATTTCAAAGAAAAAATTCTCTTGCTCCGATCGGACTTTTGATTGAATCTGCGCATGTTTCCTTTTAATTCAAACAAAAATCCGATTGAATCAGGAGAATTTTTCCCTGTAAAATTCTTTTTGAGCCTGTACTCTGGATCCAAGAGACTTTACATTCAATGTTGGGTCACTTAAAACTTATGTAAGTAACATAGAAGTAAGAAGATATGACTCGACTGTAATAGAAACGCAGAGTCGCATATTGAAAAGAAAAGAAGAAAAAAAGAGTAGGGAACTGTTCCCAACTCTTACAACAGTTACAGTCTCGCATTTAAGTACCTAAATGTACATTATCTCTTGTTACAAATTCACACCCTGGTAAAAATTGGCAGTAGAATCTGTGTTCCAAAATACCATAGACCTACAGCCGGCTGTAAGATTTCCAATAGCTTCTATAGCCGGCTACACAATTTCTTACAGCCTTTTATAGCCGATGGCGATTAAGCAACAGCCTGACGATAAAGTGTATGCTAAACGTTACTAATTACGGATGCTAGGACTTAGTGAGTTTTTGGAATACTGCTCTCTTTTTGGGCTGTAGTATCTTGATTTATTTTGCGACGAAAGCTCCGTACTTTTGATGGATGCCTGCCATTTCTAATAAATTAGAGCGCCTTCAGTTTCGTATGATACTGTGCAATACCTCTGGTGTGAAATAGTTGCTTCAAGCGCCGTGGCACGCTGCGGTGCGGCAGGCGGGCAGCCAGCGCGGAACGTGCATTGGCGCCTACAAACCTAACAGGGATACTTCACGCGTTGCGCAATGCGTGAAGTATCCCTGTTAGGTTTGTAGGCGCCAGTGCGTCGCCGCTCCGCTTTGTGTTAGGCTCTAATATTTAATCTGACGGAGTCAGCGTTATTCAACTCATGATTTTGAAATGTTTGCACATCCTGGATGGATTATTCTCATTTTAATTGATGAAAAAAATATGCATTAAAGGAAAATATAATGTGTGTTTTGTAAATATTAAGGTGGTTCCGTATCAAACTTAATGATTTCCAAAGCACGCGAATCTCTACACAATTTCTTATAGCCTTTTATAATCGATGGCGAAATAGTAACAGCCAGGCGATAAAGTGTAAAGCCCGGCGATAGGAACTATAGCCAGGCTGCATACTTTTTTATCGCTTCGTATAGCCCGGCCGTATGATTTTCTCCGCATTCTACAGCCAGCTATATAATTTTCTGTAGCCTTCTTTAGCCGGCTATAAGAATTCCTGTGGTATTGTTAAACGCAGCTCTAATAGCCAATTTTTACCAGGGAGTCAAAAATAAATTGCGAACGTGAAAAAAGTAATTAAACAAGTTTAATTACTTAAGTAGTTTGGTAGTTACAATCGAGTCTTATGGTGGAATAGAACTGCGAGTCTCCTTTTCTCCCTCTGTTCAAAATAATTGATGCGATTTGGCGGAATATTGGTAAGCACCGTCCATTTTTTCTTTAATCAATAAAAAAAATAGCTTGGACCAAGCAGTCACCTATACAGGTACATAGAGATGGATTTTGGCTTTGATCAGTTGCACTCCAAAGAACGGAGGAAAAAAGAACATTTGCCAAGAGTTGAAGCACTATTAAAATGGAATTCCATGAAATTCCCAATGAGTCACTACATGCGAATTGGAGCACTCTATGCAATAAGTCTATGAGTTGAGCCTCTCGAGATCACGACAACAACGACGCGCACATTTTATCGCGATCGTTTCGGTGCCAAGTCGCAACATCCACGTTTCTCCGCGTAAAATGGAGAGTTCAAACATGCAAAAAAACAGCCGGAGAGAGTATAACAACCGCAAAGGCGAAAACAAAAGAAAATCAGCAGTTAAAAGGAGGCGCGGAAAAAATTCAAGTTGAGGTAGGTTATCGGCGGTCAGCGATAGGAGGCTAGACTGCGGCAGTGACCTCCGCGGAAACTGATGGTCAATGATTCACCGATAGCTACAAATATAATCTCTTTGTTTACAAAACGTCCGCCATCGGTAGACTAAACAAACATGACGTAAGCAAAATTGCCGAAGTTTAACGACGCACCGACGGCGTAAATAGCACTCCGAAAATGAGACCAAACTGAATAAAATAAAATTCTTGATATTATTTTAAGAAAAGTGAAGCCCAATAATTGGGTGGCGACAGGGGATTTTAGAAGAGATGAGGATGTGCCAACTCCCTGAAGGGTTTTTCAATGGTTCAGTTACACGATCAAATTGAGCCATTAAATTGGGCCTCTCATTGGTCGCATCCTCACCTCAGGTCTTTTTCCACCAATCGGAGCTCCAATTTGATGGCTCGATTTGATCGTGTAACTGGACCTCAAGGGTAAGGGACTTCGGCGGCTAGGTGTCGCATAGAGCGCTATAAAAGCGGCTTTGTATGTATATGTATATGTAAATTATTTATAGCATTACGAACTGCTATTGGGAAAATGTTGCTGAAAGAATCAACAGTGTTTGTATTTTAAAAAGTCCGAAAGGCGCTTGATTTTTTCCATCCATCTGTCTCATATGTTTAGAAGTGAGTTGACAACTTGAGATGTAGCCGGTGTCCGCTTTTCATTTCATTCAGTTATTAAAAAATTAATCCGTTTACCTTTTAAGGTCAATGGTAATTTATACAGATTTTCACCAATTTTTATCATGTATCAGGCGTAGAGGTAAGGAGGACTGAAGCTCTGAAGAGAGGCGTTTTTGAAAGAGAGAAAACATTAAAGCATAAAAGTCTTGTTATGAGCCGAAGGGTGGACTCCTGAAACGCTATGGCTCAATGAATTGTGGAGCACCCTGTATTTTTAGTGATGGGCGCGGAATAATACGAGGACCGCGCCTGTGAGTCGGAATTGGCGAGCGTGGAGACGGGGGGCAAGGGGGGGGGGGCTTGGCTGGTCGTGAAACGCATACGTGGACCAAAGAGAGCGCACCACTTGGCATTTGCGTTCGGCGTCTAAACACGCGGTTGGTTATGTGTCCGAGTCACATTACCTTGCGGTGATAAGTAAACATGCGAGAGGTGTCATGCACGAAAAAAAAAAAATCCGTCCGAACGACGAGGATCAGTAGCTCAACCTACGTCATCAAAACTGTCCTACTTGGGGTAGCCTATAATAGCATTTTTTCACAAAATCGTGCATATCTCTATATCATTACAATTTGTGGAAACGAAAAAGCATCTAAAATACACAAAAGAGAAAGATGGGGAAAGGGTTAAATTACGTCATAACTTCAAAGATTTCGGGGGAGAGGAGTTTTTGAAAATGGAAGTCTCGATTTCAGAAACTAGAAGATAAGAGAACTTTTTGCATCCTCGGTGGGTCAGTCCTCACGTTCGAGATTTCTTTCTGAAAGGAGTTATACATGCCTAAATGAGTATTTAATCAAAAGTAATAATGCCCATCGAATTCCTCGTTTTTCTTTTTTATATAATTTGTTCGTGCTTGGTTATATAGTTCCTTTTTGCAATATACGCCAAATTATGTCACCGTTAGCAGAAGCATAGGTCTAGAAGTACCTAACGAAGATGATACAGGGGAAGAGGAAGGAGGAAATCGAGCCTAACTTAATGTAAGGCTGAGAACTATGCAAAACTCGCAAAATTAAGCGGTTAAAGAAAATGAAAAGGGTAGAAAAGTATAGTTAAAGACACCAAAAACGACTTACGAAGTTGTAATTAGATTTCAACCAATTTTTAACAAAGCTTTCGTTCATATGAGGAAATCGAACTTACAGAGTTCTACTAGCCATTTAAAAGACGCAATTTTTGACAAATCTTATAGTTACAAAAACCGAAGTTAACTTTCTGTGAGCGGGAGCATCGGTTTCGGTTACCATTGACGAAAACTGTGGTGTGGAATGTTAAGTTGTGTCTTTGAGAGTAGGGTTTCCTCCGTGTAGCAGGTGAAAGTATAGTAGCGAGACGAGAAATCACGAGGAAAATTCTTTTCTTCGTAGCGATGAATCGGATTTTTCCCAGCACACTTGATCGGAAGCGCCTAGGCGTTGGATTCAGGTTCATTGCCACAGCGTGCTAAAACGGAGCGGGGATCAATCCTTGAGCAGGCAACTATTCGAACGCCGAGGGAGTGTTTTGGTATACCCGGAGAGTTGAAGGCGAACTGGATTCAGGTGCATTGCCACAGCAGCGTGCTAAGCGGAGCGAGGATCAATCCT